AAGTACTTGCATACGTACGTATGTGCATATGTATACATACACACATATATGTGCATGTGAAATTATACATGTGTATATACGTAATCACATGAATACATATATGTTCATATGTTCAGACGTATTTTTGCATCCACAATATATATATATATATATATGTATGTGTATATATATATACACACATATATATGCCTATACATATATATATATATATATATATATATATAATCATTTTCCGGAACCAGAATATATCTCCGGAACCATTTTGTGTAACAGCATCGATCCGGAACCAAAATTCGTTCTTTTTGAAGAGCGAAAATGTCCGGAACCATTTCGTGGTTCCCAAGGACCTCTGGGATCTGCTTGGCGCGCCCGGGCGATCTGCGCGGCTTGCCCAGCGATGTCGCGCGCGTCGGCGCGGCCGAGCCGAGTCTCGCAAGCGCGGCGCAGCCGGGCGGCGATGTCGGGCGCGGCGGCGCGGCCGAGCCCAGTTTTGCAGAACGCGCGGGCGCGGCCTCCCAGCGACGTCGGGCGCGCGGGCGCGGCCGGGCCGAGAGTTGCAAGACGCGCGGGCGCGGCCGCCTGGCGATGTCGGGCGCGTCGGCGCGGCCGGGTCGAGTTGCGTAAAACGCGCGGGCGCGGCAGGTCGGCGATGTCGGGCGCGGCGGCGCGGCCGCGGCGAGTTTCGTAGAACGCGCGGGCGCGGCCGCCCAGCGATGTCGGGCGCGGCGGCGCGGCCGGAATGAGTCTTGCAAAAAGCGCGGGCGCGGCCGCCCGTGGATGTCGGGCGCGCGGCGCGGCTGAGCTTAGTTTTGTAAAACGCGCGGGCGCGGCCGCCCGGCGACGTCGGGCGCGTCGGCCCGGTCGAGCTTAATTTCGCGAAACGCGCGGGCGCGGCCGCCCGGCGATGTCGGGCGCGCCGGCGCGGCCGGGCCGAGTCTCGCAAAACGCGCGGGCGCGGCCGCCCGGCGAGTCGGCGCGGCTGAGCCGCCGAGCGCTGCGAAGCCCGCGGGCGCAGCTGGCCGGCGATGTCGAGCGCGGCAGCGCGGCCGAGTGTTGCGGGGCGCGCGGGCGCGGCCGTCCGGCGACGTCGGGCGCGTCGGCGCCGCCGCGCCCGCGGATAGCAACGGCCCCCCTCCCGGACTAACGGCCGCCCTCCCAGAGTGCAAGGGCCCTCTCCCAGACTACAAAGGCCCCCTCATGGTTCACAGAGGAAGGGCCCGCCACGGACAGCATGGGCCCGTCCTCAAAGTACACGGGATTATCCGCGTAGACAAGTGCACCCCTCCCCCAGGAAAACACAACCTTTCCCCGGAATGCAAAGGCTGTTACCATGGAGTACAAGGGCCCCCCCCGCGACTGCAAGGGCCCTTCCACATATAGATCAATGCATTTTTCCCAAAGGGGGACATGGCCCGTCATAGGGCCCCCCCCCGGCTAGAAGGGCCCTTCCCCCAGAATACAGGGGCCTTCCCACAGAGCTCAATGCGTCTTACCCCCGGGAAACATGACCCTTTCCCGGACTACGCGGGCCCGCCTCCCGGACTAGCACCAGGGCCCCACACGTGATATGGTCTTAGGGAAAAGACAGGACATCTGTTTTGCAGCTTCCCCGCATTAGCGGGGAAATGCAACTTTTGTGTCTTGTTCCGTATTAGTATAAGAAATATGAATCACCGTTTTTGATATTAATAGAATTGTATGCTTTCTATAGAAATCCATGCTTTTACCTGACAGCGAAGACTGATCGGTTTCTAGTGGGATCTTAACGCCCCAGGGGGGTCCGGGCAGGATCCGGGGAAAAAACCGCGGAAGTCAATTTAACAAAACATTTACACACTTCGTGGTCTTCGAGGTCCCAGAACTCCACTCCCGGGCCACATTCTGAATGCCCGGAGCCAACTGTAGGCCACTTCGTGCTCTTCGAGTTCCCAGAACCTCATTCCTGGGCCACATTTTGAATGCCCGGAGGAAACTGTAGGCCACTTCGTGGTCTTCGAGTTCCCAGAACTCCATTCCCGGGTCACATTTTGAATGCCCGGAGCCAACTGTAGGCCACTTCGTGCTCTTCGAGTTCCCAGAAGTGCATTCCGGGGCATGGTTTTGAATGCATGGAGCCAACTGTAACCCATTTCGGGGTCTTCGAGTTCCCAGAATTTTATTCCTGGGCATGATTTTGAATGCCCGGAACCAGCTGTAGGCCATTTCGTGGTCTTCGAGTTCCCAGAAGTTTGCTCTTGAGCATGATTTTGCATGCCCGAAGCCAACTGCAGGCCACTTCGTGTTCTTCGAGTTCCCAGAACTCCATTCCCGGGCCACATTTTGAACGCTGAGGCAGGCTGAGGCTGATGCAGGCTGGGGCTGAGGCAGGCTGAGGCTGAGGCCGAGGCTGAAGGCAGACTGAGGCTGAGGCTGAGGCTGAGGCTGAGGCTGAGGCTGAGGCTGATGCCGAGGCAGGCTGAGGCTGAGGCTTAGGCTGAGGCAGGCTGAGGGTGAGGGCCGAGGCTGAAGGCAGACTGAGGCTGAGGCTGAAGCAGGCTGAGGCTGAGGCTGAGGCAGGCTGAGGCTGAGGCAGAGGCAGGTTGATGCTGAGGCAGGCTGAGGCCGAGACCGAGGCTGAAGGCAGATTGAGGCTGAGGCTGAGGCAGGCTGAGGCTGAGGCTGACTCAGGCTGAGGCTGAGGCTGAGACAGGCTGAGGCAGGGCTGAGGCAGGCTGAGGCTGAGGCCGAGGCTGAAGGCAGATTGAGGCTGAGGCTGAAGCAGGCTGGGGCTGAGGCTGAGGCAGGCTGAGGCTGAGGCTGAGGCAGGCTGATGCTGAGGCAGGCTGAGGCTGAGGCTGATGCAGGCTGAGGCTGAGGCAGGCTGAGGCCGAGGCTGAAGGCAGACTGAGGCTGAGGCTGAAGCAGGCTGAGGCTGAGGCTGAGGCTGAGGCAGGCTGAGGCTGAGGCAGGCTGAGGCTGAGGCTGAGGCTGCTGCAGGGTGAGGCTGAGGCAGGCTGAGGCTGAGGCCGAGGCTGAAGGCAGACTGAGGCTGAGGCTGAGGCTGAGGCAGGCTGAGGCTGAGGCAGGCTGAGGCTGAGGCTGAGGCAAGCTGAGGCTGTGACTGCGACTGCCGTTGCCACTGCGACTGTCATCGCGAATGCGACTGCGACTGCGAGAACAGCAGAATTCTACAAGCGGATTCTCATCGGAATCTTCAGGGGAATGCTTCCAGATATGCTCCTACACATCGCTGTTAGGTTGCGTTGTCGGGATAATCTTTCTTCCTGCATTAATAGAAAAGCACGCTTTCTATTGGTTCTATATTAATAGAAGTTTTACTGCTTCCTCGTTATCATATGATCCCGGGATTATAACGCAAGAGTTCTGAACGACCTGTCACAATTTGGCGCGAGGGTTGGCGCCGTTCCGAGGGCGGCAAAGGCGCGTGCCCAGTGCGCGTCCTCGGCGCATTCTTCGAGAGAGCTGGCGTGGGCACGCAAGCCTTCGCGAGCTTCTCTCCCGCTGACGCCGTGGCCGCCATCCGGGCGGCGGCTACGGCGGTGGGCGTAGCGCGCCCAGAGAAATTCGACACAAGGGCGCTGCGTTGCGGGCACGCGCTCGACTTAGTTGAGCGCGGGGCTGGGCCGGCCGAAATACTTCGCGCCGGCGGCTGGCGGAGCGCTGCCTTCGTAGAGCATCTGCCAGCTGAGTTGCTCGAGCGGGGCGCCACTCTCGAGGCCAGAGACACTTGCTCTTCCGACAGCGATGCGCGAGGAAAAGCGCCTGGGTCCCATGCCGGGTGGAGCGCATGCGCTCGCGCTCCGGCGGCGCGCGGTGCATTGGGTCTGCGCCTGCGCACGCGTGACGCGCGCGGCTGGGCCCCCGCCGAGCGCCCGGCGCCCCGCGACAGCGGGTGTTCGCAGTGGGCGCTCGGCTAGGCCAGCGACGCAGGCTGCGCCCGAGCCGCCGTCGGCTCGGGGCACCGCTGCGCGCGGCCATGGTCGAGCGCCGCACCCATCGTCGCGGTGCGACTCGCCGAGCCGTTTGGCGTCTGCGCCAAGGTTTTGCGGCGGGCGATCGTCGCGCAACGTTGATCGCGGGCACGAAGCAGCGGGGCGGGCGCCCCGCGCCTCAGCCCCCATGCTTGGGCGGAAGGGAAGGGGGGGCGCCGCGTGGCTCGCAGCGGCGCGGGGCGACGCAAGCCCAAGCGATGGGCGCGAGGCGTCGCGCAATCCGCTCCGCGTGCATGGGCGGGTGCGCGAGGGGGGCGCGTGCGCCGCCCAGGGTTGGGAGGGGCGCCGCGCGCGCTCGGCTGGGGGGGGTGTCCCGCCACGTTTGGCGAGGGGGCACCTGCGGTGCGGCTTTTGCCCGCCCGCCGCTCCCCTGGTGGCCATTCGGCTTGGGGTGTTCGCATTGGGCGCTCGGCTGGACCAGCGACGGAGGCTGTGCCCGAGCCACCGTCGGCACGGGGCACCGCTGCGCGCGGCCATGGTCGAGCGCCGCACCCATCGTCGCGGCGCGACTCGCCGAGCCGTTCGGCGTCTTCGCCAAGGCTTTGCGGGGGTATTTTTGTTTCACGGACACGCCCGACTCAACAGCGTGATTCAGTACAGCACCGTTCCTGTCACCCCTGTGTGCCCGCATCCGAACATCATCCTCAGCCCTCTTCTCCTCGCCCTCAGCGTCGTCATTTCGGTCGTCACCGCCCGCAACATCATCAGCATTATCAGCATCACTGACCACCATCACCACTACCACCATCGTTATCAACATCAGCATAATCAGCATGATGCTCATTATCTGCATCCTCATCTTCGTCGTCGTCCTCGTCGTCATCCTCACCACCATCATCGGCAGCATCAGCATCACCAGCATCACCATCATTATCGTCGTCATCAGTCTCCGCATTAGTGCCAGCATCATCATCATCGTCATCATAGTAGTCGTCATCTTCGTCACCAGCACCATCCCAACAATCATCACCACCATCTTCCGCATGTGTTTTCGCGAAACTCCTTCAG